CTCTCTCTCTCTCTCTCTCTCTCTCTCTCTCTCTCTCTCTCTCTCTCTCTCTCTCTCTCTCTCTCTCTCTCTCTCTCTCTCTCTCTCTCTCTCTCTCTCTCTCTCTCTCCGCTGCGCGTTGGGGGTACACGAACCGGGGAATGAGAGAGGGATGGACTTGCCTAGAACACACAAGACTGGCGGCAAGCAGAGCGCATAGACCACAAATTACTATAGCCCACCCTTTCCTCCCGCGCACCCGGGCGGGGCTGGGAAATGCGGCCCCCCAGGCTTCTAAGACAGACAGTCAGACATACATACATACATACAGACAGGCGGGTTGGGAGTTACAAGCTAGGAATTGCAACACACGCCTGTGTCCTCGGCCTATATAGCCCGAGGGACGGCTACACAACATGAAGACATGAGTGGGGGAATGAGCGAGGAGGGGGCGTGCGTGTGAAAGAAAAAATACCCTGTTGTGCGCGGCATGTTGTGCCCATGTGGCTTGCGCTGACCGACTGCCCGGGAGGTCACACAAGCCACATCCTTTTGTTGCTTTCTACCTGCCGGGAGAGAGAGGGATGGGGAGAGAAAAGCAGAGGGTGACGAGAAAGAGGGGGGATGGGGAGAAAGCGGCCAGGCCCTGCCCGAAGAAAGAAACCTGCGCTTGTCCCCCCCAGGGGCCTTTTTGTCGGCTGCCTTCTTCGCCATCCCCGTGCATACATGCATACATGTCCTATATAGGTAGGCAGGTAGAGAGAACCGCACGCAATATCACGGGGCAGCACTGTGTCTGGCAAGAAAGATACCTCTCTGTCCGTCTCCTCTCTCTCTCTCTCTGGTTTCCCTCCCTTTTCCCCCCACGCGCCTTTTTTTTTGCCGCCAGCGCACACGCCTCGGCGGCGGCGGTGGCGACGCAACGCGACACAGCGAACCCGCATCTTGGGGTTCCTTGGTTTCCGATCGATTGGTGAGAAAGCACGTGTGTCACGCCGCTTGTCGATCTGGGAGTTCCTGCATTCCGACGTCGCCTCCCCCGCACACACACACACACACACCCCCATCTCGAGGGCTTTCCCTTGCGTTCTCTTGTCTGTCTGTCATGACAGAAAACGCCTCACCGCCAGACACCCAAGGCAGACTTGACATTTTCCCATGTCACTTGACACCAGGAAAGGCCGGTTGAGCGCCGGGCCGGACATGATTACTACGGGAACGCCTTGGGGCCGAGTAAGGAGGGGCCAGAAGAATAAGAAGAAGAAGCAGAAAAGGAAGCACAGATGACGGAACCCAAAAAGGGACTGGCGTTTTTTGACCGTGGAACGGGGAGCCCCCGTGGGTGCGGCATGGATGCAGATGCTGTGCGCCCATCACACCGAGACACAAGCCAAACCGAAAAGAGCAAACAGAGGGGTCCCAGGCAGGTGTTACCTCGCACCACAATGGCGGTGACGGCGGGAGGACAAGGGGTGAGGAGGAAAAAGACAACTACTGCGGACAAGGCCAGAAGGCCCGCGTCGTAGAGATGTACAAAGAAGCAGGGAGAGAGGGAGGGGGATCCACGGGGAAGACGCGGAACTCGCCGTGTAGGATGCAGAACAGGGGTCCGTCCTCTCATCCACAGCCTCACCCTCTCACTCTCACACTCTCACTCTCTCACTCTCTCATTCTCTCCCTGGCGGCCCTAGGCCGGCCCGGCCGGCAGCTGGAAGAAAACTCTCATCCCCGCCTCGTGAGACGCGAGACGCACCGGCAAGGCCTCAGGAGGCTCGAACGGTCCTTCCGCAGGAGGGAGTCTTGGGAGATGAGGAGGAGTGGGGGAAGATGTCTCCCGAGTTTGGCCAAACGTAGCGTCCATATTAAAACAAGGTGGAAAGGTACCGCAGGGTTGGTTGCAGTCGAGAGAGTGCTGGCCTCCCCTTGTGTGGACGGAATGGACGGTCAGTCATCTCCCACTTCTTCCTCTTTTCCTTCGTCCTGTGCACATCTCACATCAAGGCGCGGGCCCGGCCGATCTCCACAGGCTCACATCTTGAGACGCGGATGTGTCAAAAGGCGGGAGGGTATGTGTGTGTGTGTGTGTGTGTGTGTGGGCACGCAAAGAATGAGAAGGGACAAGAACGAAAAATCGAAAAGGGAGGGAAAGGAAGGCAAGTGAGGAGGAGTACTGTGCAGGAGGGTGGAAAGCTCCTGTGGTTCTTTGCTTGTCAGACGGCGGGGACTCGGATCGGCCAGGGGGAAGGGGTGCTAGAGAAAAGGAAACTAAAATATAGTACAGGACGAAGAAATAAAACAAAAAGGAACGTCGAAAAGGTGACAAGAGGAGTGGAGGCTTCGGATAGTCAAGTCGGATGAGTTGGGATGCGACACGCCGTCATGTCAAGGACCACAGGTACCGGGTCCCCTCGACATCAGACCAGGGATCGGACGGGCGAGAGTGCCTTTTTTTTTCTGCTTTGACTCTGGAGTGCTGGTGACCCGCGAACCAGCCCAAGTCTGCGTGCGGCGTGTCTGAACCTTGAGGGGGCCCCGAGCACACACCTACCTACCTGCCTTACCCTATCTGCTCACACATTGTGCTGCCCACCCTGCCAAGACGTGGTAGGCGGTTTGTGTGTGGGCCCGTGTGAATGTACACGGGCCCGTGTGAATGTACACGGGCCCTTGTTCATGACTAGGCCGGGTGGGCTTCCTTCCATATGACACGGTGGCCGTCTTGGGCGTGCTGTCTTTTTCCCATCATGTTTGCTTTTGTTTTGCCATCTTCAGTCGTTCTGGTGGCAAAAAAAAAAAAAAAAGAATGCAGGAGAAAACCCCCAACGAGTCGAGGTGGGGTGCGTGTCGTGCATCGTTGGCAGGCCAGGGGCATGCTGTCACTCGAAGTCAGATCAAGCTTCTGTGAGGTTGACTTTTTTTTCTTTTTTTTCTTTGACTCAACATCACGTCTGGCCGATGGTCAACATACGAATGGTTGGTCAACAGCATATGTTTCGACACTTTTTGCTAGTCAGTCGGCCGGCTGGCCACCCCCCACCGTCGCCACGACCCTCCCCCCCTCTCTCCCGTGGCGGTAGGTAGGTTAGGTAGTTCTGTGGATGTCACCTCTTCCGGGTTTCGAGCAAATATCATATCGGACGGGGAGGAACGTGGCGGGCCCGAGTCGGTCCCAAGGCAGGGACGGAGTCAGGAAACCTTATGGATGAACATGACCCGTGCTCCCCTCCCACCCCCCGCCACCTCCTCCTCCCTGGTCGCCTTGTCATGTCGAGATGCAGGCGCTTAACCTCAAGCTCAAGCTCAAGTCAAGCAAGAACCGATGGCAGCCCCGAAGGGGCAGCTGACGGCCATGCAGAGTTCTCCTGGCGTGGCGCTCGTGTGTCGCCAGCTTCAGCAACTGCCCTTGGTGGTGGGCGAGGGGGAGGGGGGAGGGGAGGGTGTGGGAATAGATGGTCAGTCCTCGAGGGCCTGCCTGTCTGGTCTGCCTGCCTGCCTTGGGATGGATGTATCTCAACAGCGCACTGGAGGTTTCTTGCAGACAGTGCAAGGAAGATGACAGGGAACGGGGGAGCAACCAACAGTAAAATGAAAATAAAATGAAAACGCGCCGTAACACCGTGCGCATCAGTCCCTGGATGGGGGGGATAGAGGTCGAGGCGGCGGCGGCGGCGGCGGCGGCGGCGGGCGTGCGGGAAAGGCCGAGGTTAGCAAGACACAGACCTGCCTAAAGAGCGATGGGCGAGCGGGACGATGGCACATCTCGGGTTTGCAGGCACACAGACACACAGACACACAGACACACACAGACACAGGACACACACGTACATGCGAGGCCAGGTCGGGTTGGGTTAGGCATACAGGGGAAACGAACGTCTTCCTGCCTGCCGGGAGTCACTTGACCGCATCTTCTGTGGCCCCCTGCAACTTCGGAGTGATAGATTGCGGTGGGTGACAGCGGTTCCGGCTCCACGATGGCACAGGCCGGCCTGCCCCATCCGCTCTCGGCCTTGTATGACAGATAATGTGTGCGGCCTTGCTCCCTCCCTGACTCTTTTTTTATTTGCTTTTTTTTTTCTGTCTCTTTCATTCCAATAGTGTCGACTCGGCTGTTGAGGTGGCAGTGCGGACCAGGTATAGAGACAAATAGTCGGGCAGCCAGGCAGGGCAGACGACGACGTGCCCCGCAGCGCACGAGGAAAGTCGGAGGCCAGGCCGGGCCCTGCGATGCCATGTCATGTCATGCCATGTCAGGCTAGGGCGGGCGCATGAAAAGCAAGCAGAGCAGACAGGGTAAACGGGGCAGGCAGACAAGCAGACAGGCAGACAGGCAGACAGGCAGGCAGGGCAGGCAGGGCAGGCAGGCAGGCGGGCGGCTGTCAGCTTCATCAGACAAGGCATCCGGCGGCTGGGTGCAGGTGGACGGGGCGATATCCGGCAGCGGTATTGGGAGGACCCGGGTCGGCCGCCACCCGTTGTGGACAGCGTCAGCCACCCAGCCCCCGATTCTGACTCCTGCAGGCGGGCGTGGACGCAATGCGGGTGCGGCCAAGGCGCCTCTGCATGTCGCATGTCGACGAATGGCCGTACCCGGGCAACGGTTGGGCCAGAAGGAGGCAGCGGGCGGGTGCTTGGGAGGGTGCTTGGGAGGGTGCTTGGGAGGGAGGCGTGTCTGTCTTCTGGTGGCCCCCCCTCCCTGGTCCTGTTGATTAATCAGAAAATGACACGCGGGACTGGTGGCTGCCACATCGGTCGCACACAGGCCGGATTGTTCCCCAACTGGTCTCCAGAGCGCCGGTCGACGACAGGCCCTGGTGGCGGCGGCGACAGCCGGTGTGTAAGTGTTTGCGTTGCCAGCCGCTCGACCGTCACATCGACCGTATTTTCAAGGAAATGACGCTCTAGAGACGATCCCGGACGCCCGCCGCACGAGGAGGGGCCAGTCCCCCCCCTGTCCGTCCGTCTGTCCAGCAACCTCGGACGCTAGCGGAGCTTTTCCGCCCCTCCCTGGGAGGGAATCCCAGCACGCCCCGAACGGCGGCACGAAAGGGACTCCACGAGCCCGGAACAGCGAGATCTCTCCCCGATTCCCCCGCCTGTTTGATCTCCCCACACCACCCTAGCCGAGAGGGAGCTGCTGCATGGGTGGCATTTGTTAAACCCACAGGAGGGCGTCTTGTCGGTACCTATCGCCTCTCGACCCTGGCTCCGATACGGGAGACCTGTGGGCGAGCTGAAGATCGGTGGTCGAGGGGCTTGGGAGGTGGCTTGGAACCTAGGTGGGAATGGGACGTCGGACGGAGGGCCGGCGCGATTGAGTGAGGCCGACGACAGGCTCCCGGGGCTGACGGCAAGGAATGAGAAGTGAAGGGTGAGCAATGTGGCGAGGACGACCATGACAGCCATCGACCAGGACAGCCATCCCATGTCTGCCGTCGGTTTGCCTTGTCATGACCGTCGGCAAATACGGTGAATATCCCTCCCCGTCGAAGCCTCCCCGCTGAGAGGCGACCAAGACCAGGCAGACAGAACGTACTGCACCGGACGTACTGCACCAGACGTACTGCACTGTACACCCGTGACGCACCCTCCCTCTCAGGGCCGTTCCCCCCACTCGGCCTTCTCCTCCCAAAGCCCCGAGGCACGCCAAGATCTTGCAATCTTGCAGGTGACGGATGGGGACGCTAGGCCTTTTGGGCGACGGCGGTGGTGGAGAGCGGAACTGGGAGAGAGGGAGGGAGGACTGGGAAACGCCCAGCCGTTGGCGTCAGCCACTTGGACGAGGTGTGAAGGGGGGTGTGTGGTGTGGTGACAGGGGTGCGGGCGGTGCATGCCGGCAGGTATCGATTGTTTGCTCGCCCTTATTTATTTATTTTTGGTCTTGGCTGGCCTGGTACCCGACCTACCGAGCTCGGGAAGTCGATAAGGCAGACGGGCGAATCAGCGGGGCGCGAGAGGTTCCGACATTTGGGTAGGCGTGTGCAAGGATTCCATTCCCAAAGGCGGGTGGTGAATGACAAGAGGGAAAGAGAGCAGGAAGACTAAGAAGGAGTCGAAAAAGCAACGAAAATGATACGACACAGACAGACACAGGCAGCATCGCATGAGACTATGGGACAAGGGATGCTGCTTCTGCTTCCGCTTCTCTAGCGGCCCAATGGTTCGCTGGCCAGTTGGCATAATAAAACGAAAAAGTGGAAAATAAAAAGAGGAAATAAAAAGTAGAAAACAAAAAGAGGAAAATAAAAATAGGAAAATAAAAGGCAGGAATCGTGGGGACTTGTCAAGGCAATTGAATCTCGCCGATCACAGGGATCTCGGTTCCAGATGCGCTAATTCGGGGGGCGGCAGGCGGGATTTTCTTTTATTTTTACTCGTGATTTTCTGTGTGGGTCATGAACAGTGGGGCCACATCCACCCATCCATCCATCCATCCATCCATCCATCGCACCCCTCGGCACGTCGTCCCCACAAAGATCAGAGGTCGGAGAAAACGGGACTTTGATTGGCGAGGAACGCCAGCATCTTCCAGGCAAGCACCACCACCACCACCACCACCGCACCAACATGGAAACCACCACCCATGACAACGACAAGACAGCGACTCCTCCCAGCTTGTCTCCCCCTCGCCACACCATGCAGCCGGGCGGGTATCAGGCTGTGGGCTTGACTTGTCATGAAACATGCAACGCCTTGCAGGCCCCGTCGTTTGCCGCCGTCTGCTGCCGCAAACATTCGAGAACAAGGCCTGGATGTAAGAGGATCCGTGTGCTGATTTGTTTTTCTTTTCTCCTTTTCTTCTCCTTTTTTTTTTCTCCTTTTGCTTGTCATCCATATGCCATCGAATCCGTGCGTAGATGTGAAGGGGGAGGCGTCTCGTCTCGTCTGAACAGCAACCGGCCTGTATCTTGCAAAACCTTCCTTATTCGTCCCGTCGTCTTTTTTTTTCTTTTCTATCTCTTCCTCTTCCTTCCCGCCTTCGCCACGCGCGCCCTGGTGAAATCACGACAAGGTTGCTATTGTCTAGCCATCATGTCCCTAGCAAGAAAAGTCAACCCCGGGAGATGAGAAGAGAGAAAAGAGACAGGAAAAGGAAAAAAATAAGCAAGGTGACTACACATCGGGAGCGAGGCGGGATGGACGACGGGGACAGCCGGACAACTCGGCATCCTCCCTTGCTCGCTCACCCAGTAGCGTACATGCCTGTCCTGCGTGTCTCGGCCCATCTTTCTTTTTGCTTCTGTCCTCCTCCCATCAGCCTGTCTGTCTTCTTTTTTTTTTTTTTTTAGACTGCTTTGCTCCCTGACTGTTCTCCGGGGTCCAGTGGATTTTGTTGATTCTTGGCAGGCTGCCTGACAGCCTTGATATGGGGGACGTGCGCAAAGGGGGGGCAGGTAATGGACATGAACTGGTGACCAAAAAGATGCTTTGCCTATAGTTCCTTTTTTTTGTTACCCACAGTGGCTGTATGTTGGCTCGCCGTCGACAGTGCCTGTGTCTTTTTTTTTTTCCAGCTCCCCCACCCCTTCTCGTTTTGCCGCCCGTCACGCCGGCAAATGTCTTGGTTGTGATGGATGATGGGGAGGGGTGGCCACCACCGACGCCCTTCCTTCGTTCCTTCCTTCCTTCCTCCCAAGCCGTCACCGTCACCGCCTTTATCTTTTTCCTACTCTTCCCCTTTGTCTTGGTCTCGGCCCTTGTCTCATCCTGGACGACACGGAAGACGCCACCTCTTTTTTTTTTCAAGTGGCACAGGACCGTGAGCTGGTAGGTAGGTTGCATGGGGTGCGTGGGGGGTGTGGACGATGTCGTCCCCGGGGAAGAGAGAGACGGGGGGAGGGGAGGGAAAACAGTTAGGCTGGCCCGTGGTGGCAGTGAAGAGCAAACCCGGCGCCTGGTAACCGGCGTTTTCCTTAGCTCATGTGTGACGAGACCAGCGCGGGATGTGGCATATTGTTTGTTGTCATTGCTTTTCTTCTTTTTTTTCTTTTTCGTTCGTTCTACTAGCTCCGCGGAACCTCCTCGTCGCCTGGTGTTCCTTCGTTGCTTCTTTTCCTTAGCCTTGGCCTATATTTTGCGAGTAATGGAGGTGTAGTCCCCCGGAAGCAAGCCGCTAGGTAAATTCCGGATCTGGTTCATTTCCCACCCTGTCCTTATTCGCGCTATCAAAACCACTCTCTCTGCCTTAGCGCGACAACCCCGCCGGTGGCTCCCGGCAGAGAACCGGAAAGCAGGCATTAGCAGCTAGCGAGATGCATGCTGTGCTGTACCTACCTGGTTCGGCAGGGAGTGGTGGTAGCACCTGAGGGAAGATGGACCGACTAAAATTAACGCCGGAACACACACACCCCGTTAACAGGGAAGATATCGTCAGCGGGGACAGTGTGTATGTGTGTGTGTGTGTGTGTGTGTGTGTGTGAGTGCGTGCGTGCTCGAGTCGGCTCGGTTCGGTGGCGGTCTCGCACCTTCGCTCGAGAAGGGCAACCGCCTGGAGCCCCCCCGGCAGGCCACCCATGGCCTTCACCCGCTCACGCGCGCGCCCGCCTCGCTCGCCGCCGCCCGCCGCTTCCCGCTAGCTACTCTGCTGTCCCTCCCTCTCTCTCTCTCTCTTCTCCTCCCCTTCTCCCTCCCACCCGCCCCGCTTCGAAGCTCCAAAATAGTTGCTCTATAGCACAGACCTGCCCTATAGTGCACGTAAAGATGCCTGAAAGGGCGTGGGAGGAGGGCCCCGTACTGAAATAGATCACCACCACTCGGCTACGGCGCCGAGGACACGCACGCACGCACGCCTTGCGTGGGGAAAGAAAGTCGGCTGACCTCCTGTTCAACAACGTAGCCCCCTGGTTGCCGTCCTGCCAAGTCATGGGCTCTTGTCTGCAGTAAAGCGAACACACCCTCTAGGTTTTTTTTGTGGCGGGAAAAATGAGCTTCTCTAGCATAAAGATTCTGTGATGGTAATGTACACTGACTGACACTGCGGAGCAAAGCGATCGAACTGTCTCCTTGGCTTGTTCCATCCGCCGTCGTCTTCCCGTTTTTTTGTCACTCCGGTCGTTCCAAGAAAAGAGCAATCAAAAGTCGGGAAAAAAATGAGACTCGGTGGGCTAACAAGCGGATAAAAAATGTAGAAACAGAAACTAGTATCTTCCATATGCCCACACTTTCCATTGTATACACATAAAAGACATGATCCTCTTTTTGTCTCACTCGCTCTATCCGGCCACTCCTAGTTTAGTCCTAGGTTCGCCGTCCATCCGTCCCACAATGGGGATTGCCACCCTAGATGGAAAAAAAGAAGCAAAAAAGGAAAACATGCGGCCTGACCTCGTACTGGTGTATGTATGCACCATGTGTATAAATGACAAAAATCGTACTGGATAATGTTGGAATAAATGACACTCGAGAAGAAGAGAAAAAAACCCAGCGCAGCCTTCCGTCCAGGTATTGGTATATGTGAAAATAATACAGGTCCAAGAAAAGAAAGTAAATGCACCCAGACCAATGCACCGAACCGAAAGAGCAAAACAGAAAGAATAGCCGGTCGGCTCGTATGAAGAGGTAGCTTTTGTACAGGGCGAAGGGTGTTGATCGTTTTTTATCTTCTTTTTTATGTCAACTGTTTTCGTGGTTTTTTTGGTCGTTCTTTTTTTTCTTTTTTTTTCAAGTTGTCTGTTGTTTTTTTCTTGTTTCATCGGTCTCGTTTCGCACAAATAAAGCTCCAGATGCATATTCGGTCGTTCTAATTGTCGTCAAAGGCGTTCCTCGCAGTCTGGCAACCCCGCCCCGTCTTTGTCTCAGACGCTGCCGCGCTTCATGCCGGCGCCGGCGCGGCGGCGCTTCATATCGAGGTCGTCGTCGTAGTGCATGCCGCCGTCCTCGCTGACGGGGCTGTCTCGCAGCTTGCCGTCCGTGTCGTAGTCGGGCCGCTCGGTCGAGGGCAGCGCTTTGCCGTCGGCCGAGGCGCGGCCAGACGCGATGGCGTCCGACTCGGCGCGCGCGTTGTTGATCATGGTCGGGAGCTGGCGTCTCCTGGCGTTGATGAACCAGTTGGAGATTTGGTCTGTAGGTGGAGTTGAGGCTTTGGTTAGCTTTGCAGGGACACCCCCTTGGAAGGAAAAAAAAAAAAAAAAGTGTTACGTACTCATCTGCAGACCAGTCTGCCTCATCAGCTCCTGCTTCTCGTCCTCGGTCGGGTAGGGGTGCTGCAGGTGGGCGAGGAACCAGGCGCGCAGCTTGTCGGTGGTCTCCTTGGGCAGGTTGCCCCTCCGCTTGCGCTGCTTGTTGTCGCCGTTGAGGCCCATGCCGCCCAGCTCGCTGATGCGCATGTAGTCGTGGTAGGAGCCGTAGGCCGAGGGCGAGAAGGGCATGCGGTCCATTGGCGGGATCGAGCCCATGGACAGCGACTGCATCCGCGAGGGGTGGTGGAACGGGTGGTATGACGGGTAACCCGGGCTGCCGGCGCCGCCGCCGCCCGGCCTGTAGCCGACGGGCGACTCCATGGGCGACACGACGCCGTGGTGGGGGGCCATCATGCGGCTCTGCTCCATCACGTAGTCGTCGCCCGACGTGGCCCTGACGTGGTTGCCGTGGTGGCTGGCGTGCTGGTGGTGATGGTGTTGCTGCTGCTGCTGCTGTTGTTGTTGTTGCTGTTGGTGGTGGTGGTGCACCGACGCCGGGGGTGGTGGTGGCGGCGCACGGTCAAAGTTGAGCAGCGGGAGGCTGGGCAGTGTTGGGCGGCGGCCCATCGACTCGCTGTGCTCCATGGCCACGGGCGACCGCATCGTTGGCGGTGGGCCGCCGGGGAGGTACGGGCTGGCGCGGGAGGAGCTGCCCCAGCTGTCGGCGGTCGACCTGGGCTCGGTAGCGCTGAGGGCGACTGGTGAGAGGGTATGGTGGCTCTCCCGCCTCTGGAATGACGGGGACGGCCCGCTGGTGTATAGTCGTGGCACCCGGCTCGCCCTCTCGTCCTGCTCCTTGTCAAACGACAGTCTCCTGCGCTTGTTCTGGCTGGTGGGCGAGTGCACGTACTCCGGGGGCGTCATGGTCCCTGGAGGCCCTACTATCGGCGACGTGGTCGACGACTGCGTTCCCGATGGCCCATCTTGTGGGACGATGCGAAGATGGATCTCGGGGAATGCCTGGAAGTACGGCCTGGTTAGTTGTTTCCCGTGGGCTGCCGCCACCCCACCCCCCCTTGGCACGGGCCGGGCGCTCTATTTGTCAGGCGAGTTGACCACCCTGGGGAGACTCAACTACTTACCTGGCGAATGGACGGCAGAGCTATCCTCTCGGGTTCGCTCCTTGGCCTCGACGATGCGTAGTCGGTTTGCCTGTGGTCGTCCCAGGAGGAAAAGTACTCCCTCTTGAAGGGTGCGTGCGGAGCCGGGGCAGCCATCGCGATCATGGACATCTTGGACTGATCTCCTTGGTGTCGGTCTTGGGTGGTTCTGGATCTTTGACTGCCTGGTAGGGTATATTCCATACCCTTGTGTCCCGTTGGATGTGCTGCAACGTGCCCGCTCAGCGATGGAGAAAGTGCTGTCGTTTGTCGTTTAGCCTCGTGTTCCGGCCACTCCCTGGTCTGCCCGGTGGCCTGGTGTGGTGATTGGGAGAAAAAGCAGAGTGGCAAGCAAGAGCAGCTTACTCAAAAAAAATAAAAAATTGAGAAGGGGCGCTGTTATGAGCGAGCGGAGACGCCTCGAGTGTCGAGATAAGAGAGCATGCGTCGGCGGATGCTGGAGTCGCTGTTTGAAACGATCGTATGGTCGTCCTGGTTGGAGAGAAAAAGTGTATAACCCGGCACCTTCTGGCTTTCCCTGTCCGAGGCAGTGGAAGATCCCCTCTCTTTTTACAATTGTTCCCAAAAGAAGAGAAGAGAAGAGCACGACGAGCAAGGCAAACAGTCAAGTGGCCTTTGTTCGTTCCTGGAGGAGGGGCGTGCGGGCGCCTATGGTGATGTATATGTATATGCAGGTACAGGTCGGAGGGACTGGCGACAGGCGGCACAGACGAGTGGGCGTGAGCGAGCGGCGGCAGCAGCAAACGTGGCCGTGGTTTTCAAGAAGGGCTAGAATCAAAGTCGAAGAGCCTTGGCGTGCGAGGTGAAAGGCCTGGATCACGAGTGAGAGAGTGTGAGGGCCTTTTATTCACAGACGTGATGATGGTCTGGGACGGGGGGGGGCAGGTCGAAGGTGGTGGTGGGACAGGAAGGGGAGGTGTGAGGTGGATGATAAGTTCTTTTTGTAGAAGCGCAAGTGCCGGGACCCTCTTTTGTCGATGTGCCTTCTTCCCTGCCTAGGGGGGTCGCTGCTCTGGGTCTGAGTCTGGGATAAGTCCAACGGGCGGGCGCGCACAGATGATATGCCCCGGGGGGGAAGCGAGGAAGGTGAATGGCAGGCCCCAGGCTTATAAGAGGCCTGGCGTTGGTTTAGTGCATCGAGTCAAAGATTTTTTAGGATGCTTCTTCAACAAGACGAGGGCCAAGGTGAAACTGCTACCACCATAGCTCCAACGGGGAAAAAAGGAACTTCTCGAAAGACGGCCGAGGGCTGGGCCGATCCAGGTACTTCCCAGGTTTAAGCAAAAGATGGAAAATGGGGAACCCGGGACGAGGGCCACAGAATGCGGTTTATTTCCCTGTCCAGCAAGCACGCGTTCTATAGAAATATGCGCACTAGACCAAAAGCAGCCCAAGAACGCGAGGGAGTGGGCAGGTTCGCCTTCTGGGTGAGGATGACATACATGGGACGTACAGGGGAGGAGAGGCGTGCACGTAGACAATAACACCCCTACCTTGATGGGGTGTCGCGGGTACAGTGGCAGCAGAGGCAGCAGAGGCAGCAGAGGCAGCAGAGAAAAAGCAAAGGCAGCAGGCCCTGCTGTATAGTGCAAGGGGCGGGCCTGGCACCGTGCACGATATACCGCTTGGGCGTGCCGGCACTCAGCTCTGCTTTGCCAGTCAAGACTTGCTCCAGCTGGGATACGGCCAAGCTACCCCCCCTCGCTCGGCTCCACACAGGCTTCAGCAGGGATACTATCCGCTAGGGCGGCGGCAGCAGCAGCAACAGCAGACGCAGCAGACGCAGCAGCATCAAGCAGGTACATCCACCTCTGTACCCGGCTACTATTGCCCGCCCTGCACCACCACACAAGGGCCCACGGATGGCGGAGACATGACAAACAAACGAGGGGAGGACGGCCCACTCGCTGGAGGTGCACTGTCGTCCGGCAAATGCTTGCTGTCGGGACGGGTACAATCGGTAGGTACCTAACTAGCAGCGTAGCAACAGCAGCTGTGCTGTAAGACGGGGAGGGAGAGAGAGGATCGAAGGCAAGCGCCGTTGCCCGCAAACCACTGCGGCACACACACCTTATGCAAGTGTATGTGCGTCGTCTGGCTCCTGCAGCCGTAGCAGCGGATGGGGATGGGAACGATGGGGGGAGGGGAGGAACCCGCACACACACCTCTCTCTCTCTCTCTCTCGCGGCTTCAACAGCGCTCATAATTAGGTTGAGCTGGACAGCGTGCAGCAAAAGGGGAGGGAAGGGCTTTGGTTGGGAAGACAGAGAGAGAGCGCTGGATGGCCAGAGCAGGTCGACAGGGACCAGGATAGGGGTCCCAGAGAATATGCAACGAGAAGAAACAGCAGCGCACGGTGCTGCGACCTAGTAAAAGGTACATGGTAATAGGGGGAGAGCAGAGACGGAAGGGCGTGCGGTGGGGAGGGGGGTGGTCTGGAGGAGAAAAAGAATTAGCTGCAGAGAAAAGAAAGAATGAAAAAGAAATGAAAAAGAGCAAAATAACCAAAATAGGAAGGAAAGAGGGGAACAACAGGGACTTGAATAAAAAAGAAAATAAGAAAAAAAGCAAAGGGAAGGAAACGTAGACCCACTCGATCAAGTGGGCTCAAAACCCAGCAAGATCCACTAGTAGCAGCACGCACACACACACTCCACCAAGTTGAAAAGTACCCCCCCACCCCACCCCACCCCACCCCACCCTCCAGGGCTAACGGCGCTGAGCAGGGGTCTTTTGCAGTCCCCCCCTCCCCGCTGTGGCCACCCCGGCCGCTCAATGACGGTTGCAAGGCTAGATGAAATTGCCCGATGGTCAGGCTGTCAAAGCAGGGGTCTTCCCTGCATGCGGGCCATCGAAGACGCGGAGCTCGGGTTCATCCCACTCCCACTCCCACTGCTTTGGGGGGTGGTGTGCGAAAAGGAAAAAGAAGACAATGAGGTGTCACTGGGCCTGGAGTGGAGAGAGGGTGTGAAGATGGAGACAGACAGACAGAAGAGAAAGGGCAGAGAGAGAAATAGAGTGTGTGTGTGAATGTGAAATGCGTGGCAAAGACCTCTCCACATCCACCGTCTCTATCACCCTCACTCAACCAAGCCCTGGCCAGTGCTTTGCAGGGCTCGCTTCATTAAACAGACCTAGCACGGAATTGCGGATGTGCGGATATACAAATCCCCGTCCGTCTGTTCAGTCCACTACGTTCCCAAGTTACGAGGCCAAGATATTGACCAAGTAAGTGCCTAGGAAAATAAAAAAGAAATAAAAAAGAAGAATAAGAACAAAGAAAAGACTAGAATAAAAAAAAGATCCTTGCGCTGGTGGTGGCAGACAGGAACGGACGGCCATGTGTGTGTGCACGGCAAGGTCGCCGTCGTCGTCGGATGGCAGGCTAGCATGCTGGTGCCAACGCTCCAGCACCGCCATGAACATCAGCATCGGCACCAAGCAGCAGCAGCATGCGCTCTGTTACCTCGTCAACCCTCCCCTTCTCCCCGGTCCGACTTTGGATTGAGACAGACATATACGCATGTAAAGGGCCAAGCTTCTCAGCACTGGGGGAAGAGGAGAGGGTTGATGGGCGGGCCCACACAGCATCACCACCATGTTTTGTTTGCCCTCGCTTTCCTTGCCTGCTTCCCACGAACCAGGTTGGCGAACGCGGCGTCTGAAATTGGACCCGGCTCATTCACCGACCATCTATTACACGGGATCTAACCAGGATGACAAGAAGTAGAAGGGAAAAAAAAGTAGTGCGCACACAAGCAAACAAGGCAGGCGTGCAAGAAGCCGATGAGACATTTGTCATCGGGAGTGGTGAGAGGTATAGCGGCCGAGATAGGGCCCTCCCTGGTCTGTTTCTTGGGGTTCGGCTGCGCGAGGTAGAGTGCAGGTGCGTCCCAAAGCTGCTGCATATCCCGTTTGGCCTGTTTTTTTTTGTTTTTTTTTACCTTCTTTTTTCCCTCTCGCTCGCTGAAGCCCCAGACCTCGCCGCACACAAGAAGCAGCTCGGGGTAAAAGCACACAGGGAGGTCAAGTAATACCTACTAGTGGAGCAACCATCCGGGTAGGCGTGCCGTGCACCCATACACCCACACATACAAACGGATAGGCAAGGCATTGTGACAGTGTGTGCGAGGTGACTGGTCGACTCGACTCCCAACGACCCGGCCCCATGGATATCTCGGGAGGCCAGCGCCTGTCCTGTTCGGCACGACACACAAGGTTTTCGCTGCCTTTGTGCGCAGATGCCGCCGCCTCCGCCTTCCTGCTCCCACATGATTCCCACCCACCCGCCTTGGCTAGAACAGGTCCTGTTGGGGAAAGATCAGAACCGATCGACAGACCTGTGTTCAACAGGCACATGCAAGCTCCCTGGGGCGAGATATGGGCTGGCAGGAGACCTAAGCGGCGCTCTCCCCGCAAAGACGCCAGAGACATGTGCAATGTGGAACCCAAAAGTCGGCACAGGCAGCGGCCGAGTCTGTGCGAGCGTATCTGCCCATAATGTAAAACACCCGAACGAACACATCGTCGAGCGGGAGAACAAGACTTGACCTTGACCAAACCCGAGGTCCGTGTACGAGAAGGATGAGGCGAGCGCGCCGAATAGGGTTAGTTGGTAACAGCAAGGGGCAATCCTCTAGAAGCACTTCGGCCCCCAAAGAAAGAAAAGAAAAGAAAAGAAGAGAAAAAAAAGCATCGATGCCATGCCCGACTTTGCGTCCAACGGTAGCGCAGTGGCGCGATGGGCCACTGGCCTGCTTGCTTTGCTGCGGTCAGTCCTCGGAAAACGGGACTGTGGGGTGGTGGCGGCTGACGACTCGATGCCGAGGCGCCCTCTGGTAGAGAGGCCGAGCCTTGGCGTGGCTGGTTAGAGAGTGTGTTGTGCATGCACCAGCATGCAGGCCCGCCACAGGGTTCGCTTCCAACTGCCGTCTGTTCCCATTCGTGCATGAGTCGAAGGATAGAAGCAGACAGAAAAAAACAAAAAAGATAACAGCCTAGTAGCTGGTGGTGGTGGAGTCCCCCAGGCTGACCGGGTCGGATCTAACGACAGCCGGAGTTGCTTGACGACAGATCGACCGGCTTGTCATAGCTGTTGTCGAGTTGTCTGGAACATACCTAGTTGTGAATTCTACAGGGTCGAAGGGAGCAGATATGCGTTGGCACCTGTGCAAGGCAACTGGTATTCCGACAGCGTCGTCTTGTTTTCTGGCAGCAGTCGTCGGGTGGGAGCGGGCCATTCCTGCGAGCGCCGTGACGTAGCAAAGAGCCAGCCTACTGTACCTGAACACGCAGCCAAGAACTAGCATGGCCTGCTTGGTCGTTTGAACCTTGCTAGTTTAGCGGTTGAGTGTCCGAGTCTTGTGCGTGCTGTTAGTCGGGTCCGCGAGAGCATCGGTTGTGAGAGGCGAGTCGAAGGCGTCAGTCATGGAGTTTGCCGCGATTGCCAGGATAACAATGATAACAGCGATACCAACAACAACAGACAAAAAAAAAAGCCACCGGCGGTAGAGTTACGTGTAAGCTCGCCCCGGAGGTCGATCAGCTCTCATCTTGTCTTGTGCACCCCTGGCTCCCCCTTGTCTACCGGGGGGTGGCTGCCAAGTGGAAAGGCCACGCTGAGCTTGTCAGGTCAGCAGGACCACCGGCTCGGTGGGTGGTGTGGGCTTCTCACGATGGCGGTGGCGCTTACGGGGTACATGGACTCGCGGTAATGTCGCAAAATCACTCAAGGTTGGCAAAGGCTCAACGTGACTGGCTGGCGTGGCCTCGCCTTCAGCTGCAACCAAGAATCGGGACCGACGCTGGCGGGTCATGACAAGCATGCTCAACAATGGGATGCGGCCGTGAATCTCAGCAGAGGCGCAGGGTGGCGACAGAATGCGTGTGCCTGCGTGTGTCTGGGCAGCTGCTCCAGGCTTCCTCCAGGCTTCCTCCAGGCTCCTTTGTCAGGCCAGCCGGCGGCTGGGCACACCTTGACTGGCGGATGGGCCGCAAGCTGATCCCGGCTTGGCTCGGCCGTGTGCTGCGACGCTGTGGGCGAGTGTGCGTGTTTGTCTGGAGGTCGAGGCCGCAGGCGAGCAGGCGAGCGCAGGCCCCCATGGCCTGAGCGGGCTTCGGTCAGGGTCAAGGCCACCAGGCCAGCGACTTGGACTCCAGCCGGCGGCGGACAAAACGAACAAGGGTGGGTGCTCGTCAGCGATCAGAGGCCAGCAATGCAACCGACGGATCCACGGCAGGGGTCCCAGGTCCAGAAGGGGAACAAAAACGAGAAGGAGAGGGAAACGGAAAGGGCCAGGTTATCAGGAAGCCATAGTATCAGCCTAGTGGGCCGACCAGCTAACAAAGCGGCTGTGGCAAGCAGATTAATCGGCCAAGCTAGCCATCGACGCGCCAACAAGTGAGCGAGCACCTTGGTGTTCGTTGTGTGTGTATGTGGTGGGTGCCCTCTGGACAGGAGTTTCGTTGTTTGTTGCGGATAAGCTCGGATGCTTTTCTGATAGCCGCAAGGGCCTTATTTTCTTTCTTGGCCGGCAGTGCAGCTGTGTTGCCACTGCACACCCACAGGACACCCACAGGACCAGGTTGGTTTGTCGCGTCTTAATTCCTTTGTGTCGAGTCCCTCCCTGGTCGGACCTCGACCCGCTCCGTCGATCTGGGCGTGGTGGTGCGGGTTCAGGTGGTGAGGGTTCAGGTGGTGCAGGTTCAGCAGGAAAGTTGCTCTTTCTGGCGGCTTGGCTGGGGAAAGAACCACTGAGCGACAGGGGTGGGGTTGCTAGTGTGGCTTGTGTCAATCTGGTGTTTCGATCGTGTGGGACATCAAAAAAGCCATTGGGCGGGACGAGGCAGGTCCTGGGGAGCTAGCTGTCACTGGCTTGGTCGGTCGTGCCTGTCACCGCCACCCCTGGACCAAGCCCTGGACTCGTCTGATCCCGAGGAGAGCAGCCAATTGGCCAGCCACAGATGTGTCAGCCACCGACCGCAACGCAGTGGAGCACACCTGACAGCCTCTTTCGAGGTGGCAGGGTCCACCTGCTAGGCACTTTGAGTAAACTGAGCAGAAGACAACAACAACAACAAATTTGTTCACCCAGCTTCCGATAGCCACTGGAACTTGATCAACCACAATGTCCCGTTCATCCTCGTGTGCCTGATCGCCCTCTTGCGTGTGCAAATCACTGTGCGCACAAAAGGGACGACAGCCCGGACTGGGTCAAGGCGGTCTCGACGACAGGCCATCCTTGTCCCGGGTATCTGGATCCTGGAGCCTCTCATCGGCGGTTGGCTGGATGGAGGTCGCTGCAGCAGCGGACGGCGACTCAAGAGCATGCCACACGCCGCCAATACGGCGATTCTGTCAGGCCCAGGGCTCATCATGTCGACAACGCCATCCCCTACCCCCTCCCCCGGTCGTTGTCCTTTTTTTTTTTTTTTTCGGCCTGCAACCACCGTTTCTCCCAGTGGTAAGCAAGGCATCAATCCTCCGAGCAGATGCCGACGCGCTAGCATCGACCCCCAAGCCCGATAGCGAGGCGCTAGGCTGGGTGGGAAAAACAAGGCATGCACATGAAGCTATCCCAAGTTGCCCAAGCAGCTTCGGGAAGGCGCGGCGACTGACAAGGGCCCCCTCTTGACCTTTTTATCCATGTTGTTCTAGCGGGAGAGCAACGCACCATCTGCTGGCCTGGTTACCTGCCTCCCTAGGCTCTGAGCCTTGTCCGCGAGAGAGGCGCTCTCGTATACGCAAGCGCACTGCCCGCCCGCCCGCCCGCCAGACTAGGCAAGTTTGGTCGCGGGAACCAAGTTGAGGATGGGCGAGCAAACACACAAGTTGCCAAACCTGATACCTCGGCACCTTTCCTCCCAGGTCCTTAGTCACCATGTCCAGGTTTCAGAAGGCCGGGGCCAGGCCGAGCGCTTGCAGCGCAGGCCCTGCAAGTGCGCATGCGCCGCAGCCCATTACCCCAAAGCCCTTTCCCCGAGCGCTGCTAAAGATAGCCATGCCGTTGAAGCAGCCCGCCCCATGGGCGTCCGAACCTGGGCCATTGCGCCTGGTTGAGAGCTTCCAATTGAATTGGACAGACGCTCATCTGTAACTCGGCGAGCTGGCTGCCCGGGATGCCGCAGCTCTCCCTGGCCTGCGGGGTTTGCCTACCTTTTGGGCGGGTTGGCTGGCCGGCCTTTCTGGGTTGTGTTGACTGTGGACCGCGATGATGGCCAGGGCCAGGGCCAGTTGTTGGCCAGAGCTCGAGCTCTCTATCTCGGCTGAGACTCTGGTCGATGGGGGGAGGGGTGGTGGTGGCCTTGTTTACCGGTCGTCGAGGAATTAGATTGTTCCAGCGGGCTTCTGGTCTGATGATGGAAGCCTTCTCAGGGGGCGGCTGAGGGAAACATGTAAGCGCGAAAAGGTGGGGAAAGACGTGATTGATTTGATTTCCTCTGGCAAGCCCTGCCCCGCACCGAGCCGACAAGCCTTGGTACGTACAGTGTTGGGGGATAGCAGGTGTCTGCCTGTGGTGAACTGCTGAGCTGCTGAGCCGCTGAGCCGCTGAGCTGAAGCGGCGAGAACGGCCGCCGCAGTCGTTGTGCATCTCCTAGTGTAGTGTGCGACAGAGCAGCGGCTCTCCGATTCGCCAGCGACGCTGCTGTGACGGTTGTAGCGGCCTTGGCCATTTAACTGACATTGGGTGATCTGTCATGTCCCGCCTCCCGCCCACCCTCTTGAATCAGGGCGCGAGGCCAGCATGACGCATTTTTGCGCAGGCAAGGGCTGCCCCGGGGCTTGACTCGAAACCCCCACACTTTTTGCTCACAAGTTTGACGAAAATGCCCCGTTTGGAAGAAGTGGCTAACTCGTGGCTGGTGGCGTCGACTAGCATTTCAGCTCCAGCGATGGGCCACAAAACAAAGCCTGGGCGGCGCGTCACTTCAACCTCGAAAGTGGTTTGAACAAACAATTTATGCCGGACGTGCCCGACAGTGTGGCAGCCGGCCAGCGAGTCTCGTCTGGACGGATCTCTTGAGCCCCGGGTCAAGGGGGCTCCATATCTGTCGCCTTATCTCCGCGCCTGCCGTCACCTATCGATACCTACCGCCTATCCACCCCTGGATGGAGATGGAGTCGCTCGATCAAGGGAGTCTGGCTGGCTGTCTGCACAGTACCTACATGGCTGGGATCTCGCTACATCCCTCCCTTCCCAAATCCTACGCGTACGCTCGTCCTCGTCTCGAACGCTACTATACCCACCCAGACTTCCCACCTTGGACTGCATAGCCGGTGTCGAGTCCACCGCAACCCCACCCAGAACAGAGGGACAGAGAGGGAGATGACACCCACCTGCGGCTCCACACTGGATGGACAGGCCCACCAGCGGATGCAACGCAAAGGCGACAAGGGGCGGGATTTTTTGGACGGGGGAAGCATCTCGTCAACTGAACTTGGCAGCCTGACGGGTCGGACAAAAGACAGGGATGGATGCGTTCGCGACCATGACCGGAATTGGAAACGGCATGGATTCGCCTTTTATTATTTTATTTTAATTATTTGATTGGCTTTGAGGGACCCGGCCCACCACTCTCCTTGCGGCCACTCCTCCGCTCCCCATTCCTCCTCCCTATGACACCCTCACCTCACCCCGCGAGGGTGGCACGGTGGCAGCATGCCCCCCGGGGCCGCGACTGCGCCCCGGAACGTACACGAGGCGCGCGATACAAGAGACATCAAATGGCGGAAACGCGGGTGGGACGACTTGCCCCAATCAATCTGATAGTGGCCGACGCCTGTTTATCTGGTGGTCGAGGCTGCAGCAAAACGCGGCTTGGCGACCGGCCCAGGTCCGGATTTGATTTGATTTGATTTGGAAAGAAGAGAAGAAAGAAAACCAGGGTCCGGATGCCGGGACGGAACCAGGCTAGCTCGCCCGGGGAATGGTGCCGTTTTTGGCCAGGAAACTCTCTGTCGGCGGGAGAGCTTACGCCGCGGGACCATGGCTCGAAACGTACATGATCAAATCACCGCGAGTCCCACTGCAGAAGCAACGGTCCCGGACGATCGGTGACGGCATCGGTAACGGCGGCGACGACGACAGCGACTACGACGACGACTGTGACGACGGATAGAGAAACGGACGGACGGCCATAACGACAAAAAAAAAAAAAAAAAAAAGACAAAAAAAAAGCACCTTGACCCCCGGATGTGACTTCGTCTTCGTCCCAACCCGCCATCATCTACACACGGCTCATCACCTGTCATGACACACGTCAGTGTCCCTTTGCTGTCTGACCAGAGCCTCTCTCCGTGCGGAGTCCGGACGGGCCCCCCCTGACAGCCATTTTGACAGCGGCTCCGTCGAGGTGGAGTGGGCACAGACCACATGCCACAGTCCCCTGGCTGTAAAGGAAAGCGACAGCACGTCCCTCTCATCCATCCCCCATCCCCTTTCCCCTCAAAAGCTAGGTCGAGGGTATCGGCCTGTCAGTCCGACCGGCAGCATGGGTCACGTCCCTGTCCTTGGGCGGTCGCCAGAGGCGGAGTAACAAAAACGGGGAGGAGGGACTATAGCTCGCTCGCTCCCTTCCCCCCCAGCGGGTCTGATGCTGACTGACCAGACGCTGCCCCTGATGCAAGAAACACTGGCTCGCCAGTCTGCAATGATGCCGACACTTGCACCCCTTCAAACATATTGCCCTATATTCGGTTGCCGATAGGTGCTATCTCTCGCAATGCGGCCTCCTTTTTCTTCTTCCTTCTTTTTTTCGCTCTTTTCCCCGGCGCCCATGCGCGGGCAGCTCACAGCAACAAAAAAAAAAAAAAAAGGTAAGGGTGACAGGAGCAAGATTGTACCTAGTCTAATGCAGCAGCAGGCATGCATGCGCGGCGGCGGCGGCCATGGTCGGTGACGCACGTCAGAAGGGATTTTGGGAGGAGGGCCCCGCCCACTCTCTCACTCACACACACACACACACCACACAGACGCTTCTTGTTGGTGCAAACATGCATTTCGAGCGGGGATGCTGCACACCCAAACAAAATGGAAAACGCTCCAGCTTCAGCCTGTCATAGGCCGGTGCAAACCCGACCAGAGCCACTCAACCACTCGGGCGGCAGCTCTTTTTTTTTTCCCTTGCTGTTGCGGCGCGCGACATCGCCAATCTGACCTGCATGGGAGGCGAGAGCCACCGTGCCACGGTACAGGACCCAGGGATCACAAACCTTAGTACGGTGGATCCTGGTGGTACATCAGTTTGGCTTGGTTTTCTAAGGAAGAAAATGTATCTTGTATCCACCACACTAGATCCATGGGACCTATACCACCCTACTCCCCCCGCCTACCAGTTCGTTCCGTTTCGTGGCCCTTGACCTTTGCGGACCCATAACATAATAAAGGGGGGGTGTGGACTTGAAAGCCTGGCCTTGTTATATTATACCCTAACACCCCTTCCCCTGCGGGCCGGTGCTTCCGGCTGGCTTTTTCTTTTTTGTCGTTTCCACATTTCCTCCCGTCGCGAGGCTTTTTGTCCCCTGCGCCGGTTCGTGCGCGCGCCCCCTGGGATTACTCGCAACTTCCCTCCCTGCCCCTTGGGCTGTTTTTGCTTCTTTTGTTGATATCTGACAGGAGGACGGGAAGAGAAGGGCGCGGGGAGGTGGGGCGTGTGTGAGCTGCAAAGGAGAGAAATAGCGAGTTGCTGCATAGAAACGGGCCCCAGGAGATTTGTTTTTATTTTATGTCCTTCTCTTCGTTCTTCCATATCCTCCTCCGCTCCCGGATAATCCAGCAACCAACCCCATCTCGTAACGAAATATATTAATGCCGAGATCGGGCCCTGCCCTGGCCATGTATGTATAGGTCCCAGGGATTACGAACCTTGGTGCGGTGGATGCAAGATACATTTTCTTCCTTGAAATACCAAGCCAAACTGATGTACCACCGTACTAAGGTTTGTGATCCCCGGTCATTCCGGCATGGTCAAAGAAGAGATGAGTCAGCAGGTGCAGCAAAGCAGCCTTGTCGGTGCGCCAAGGTGTGCCTGCCGCCGTCATGGGGACGACAATGGTGGAGGACAACCAGGCCCTATCCGACATCTGGACTCTCAGACACAACCAGGGCGGGTGGACAAGAGCTGCTAAACCCGCGGCGCGGTGGCTGCTATCTATGTCGAGCGAAGGATCAATGGGCTGTTTCGATCCGGAGCGGGTGCTCCCTCTCCCGACGGCTATCTATCTGCCTGGGTAGAGGTAGGTAGTTATACCAAGACATGAGATGATGGCAACGGAATTTTCCGCCCCGACCGAGATTGGCCAGGACTCGCCCCGGCTGCGAGCGAGCGATCAAGCCAAGTCAGATTGTAGTCGTGCGTGTGGGTGGTTAAGTCAAGTTGGGTCAGGCGATGTCAAATTAGGTCAACTTAGGGTCAGCCCGGCCAAGAAGGAGCCTTGTCAAGAGTTGGCCGGACAGCTACGGTCGCAGTTACAGTGATACCGGGCTTTAAATGGGATTGCCTTTTTGTTTCTTATGGTTGAAACTGCGGCATAGAGGCAAAAACCCGGGCGTCGGAAATGCTTACGGATCGGGCTTTGCTAGTTAAAGGGGGCGGCGGCGCGCCGCGGGTGGCGCGGGTAGATTAAATCTACTACCTGGGGGTTCCACATTCTTAACCCCCTCCCAAGGAGGGGGTTACAAAGCCTTAATTATCCACTAAACCGCCATTTTACAAGCCCCCCTCGTAGGATGGCTGGGGAGATATTTTTGTTAATTTGTACAACCATTAAATAAAATAAAATTACTTAATTTTAAAGCTATTCGCACTAAATTAATAAAATGGATATTGTTACGGGACCAAACCAAGGTAGTACCCGTTACACCAAGGCAAAAGAGGAACGCTGTTGTAGCTGGAGCTACAACCCATGTAAGGTCCTTATAAGCGACTGTACCGTGACATTAATAATCGCTTACCTGTTGAAAGGATTTTATCCAGCTTAACAACAGCGACTCCAGCAACGATAATATTTCGGTTAATATATATTTAACCCCCTTGGCAAACCTCCAACCTTTTAAACTAGCTAGGCCGTTATAATGCTTAACGCACCTCTCCTTGAGCCTAAGAAAATTAAATAATTATTTACGCCTACAAACAAGGCCTTGTTGGATTTCCTGCCCTCAGATTTACGTAATGCGTAATATTATTATGCTAAAAGGTAAATAGAAAATTAATGCCAAGCACAGCAAAATTGGGTGGCTAACGTGTGGATTAAAAATGGCGGTTTAGTGGATAATTAGGGTTTTGTAACCCCCTAGGTAGATTCAATCGTCAGGGGAGAGGGGGGGCACCAAGGCGTCAACGCACGCGCCATGTCGGCTTTTTTTTTTTATTTCTTGCTCTCTGCCGTGTGTGACGAAGATCTGACAGTTTTGACAGGCCCCCAGGACCCAGTCCCTTTTCCCCCCTCTTCCCTCCTCTCCTTTTCCTGCTCTCGGGGTTGTTTCTCAATCGATTCATCCAACCCCATTTCTTGAAACCAGACACGACAACAAAAGAGCTTCAAGTTGACCCAACAAGGCAGGCTGAGTGCGGCTTGTGTGATAGGACCCGACAGCGCGGTCGGTTCATGCTGTCCCCTTCCCATCCTCCCCCTTCCCCTTGGTTATTTCCTAAAAAGGGTCGAGCCGCGAAGAGGAACGGGCCCATCTCCGTCTGTTCTTTGTTTCTTCCCTCTCTCTCTCTCTCTCTCTCTCTCC